CTGGGCTCAGATCCCAGATTTAGATTTAAAAACTTTTCCACGTCACTTAACCTGCGAAGAGGAAAAACTATCTGCTAGAGGTGGCAGGGCTGTCTGAGGCACGGGGGGAGGAGGGCTCGTGCGTCAGAAGCACAATGTGATGCTCTCCAATTAGCCTCCCCAAGTCCTTGGTCAGCTCAGGACAGAGTGAGAGCGCTCCCGTCACAGGTCTGCGGTGAACCCGATGGGGTTCTACGTGTGAGAAACCAACGTGCGTCCTTGGGCAAGAGCACTTAGCCTCTGAGTCTCAGTTTCCTCGTGTGTAAAACAGATACAAAACAACAAGGTCCTACTGTCTAGCACAGGGAACTATATTCAATATTTTTTAATAACTTATAATGAAAAAAAGACTATGCAAAGGAATATATATATATATATGTATAACTGAAACACTATGCTATACACCAGAAATTAACACAATGTTGTAAACCAACTATACTTCAATAAAAAAGTAATAATAATAAAACAGATACAAAACTCACCAAGCCCCTGCAAGGGTAGACGTGAGGGTTAAAGGAGACAGTGTGCACATAGTAAGTGCTTGATAAACATTCAGCATGTGGTAATAAAGGAGCACAGGCCCCCTGAGGGTTCAGGCTGGCCGAGTCAAGAAGTCTACCATTTCTCTCTAGACAGGTGCTTGGCTAAGCAGGATCTGTAAAACCCCTTGGTCACCAGACCTGACAGACCCCTCATCCCATCATGGGTGTTTCTCAGGGTCTGTGGACTGGGCTTATTATGTGGTCTTCAGCTTGGGGTGGGGAGTGGACTCACAGTAGGCAGACCAGCAGTCAAAGGATTTCAACTGAGCAGTCAGGCACACATGTTTCCCTGGGCACTCCCACGGGGGATGCAGGGCTCTAGGTACTGGGGAAAGGGATCACCTGCATACAGCCCACCCCCGCACCTTTGTGTAACCCTGAGAGGCAGAAATCCTGATATAGCTTAGCAGGTGAGGAAACTGAGGCTCAGACAAGTTCAAAAACCTGCCAGTCCACTTGTAGTGGAAGGATCTTGTTCAGGCTTATCCGACCCCAGATTCTGTGCTCTTTGCAGCTCACCAGGATACCTCAGCCCCTGTTCTATGATTTCTGAAAGAGCAGGGATGTTCCCAGTGCCTAGAGCTGCTCCAGGACAGTGGGCACTCCAGGAATGTTTGTGGAAGGAAAGGAAGAGTGAGAAAATGTGGGAGACCAGCATACGGCAGGACCCTGGAGAGCACCACCCCCTGGTCCAAAAGCTCCCTTCTCCCAAAAGGAGATGTGGCACCCAGGGAACACGCAGGAGACGCTCAGTAGACCTGCGGAGCAGAGGTTCCTGGCAGGGACACAGAGTCCAGATCTTAAAACTCCTGTGGGAAAAGCCCACAGGCCCCAGATACTGAGCCCCTAAGGCATCAAGGGTGGGGCTGCTCCTGGTGGACCCTGGGAATGAGGGTGGGGGCCAGACATGCCCTGAGACACAGAGCCAGGCCCGGACAGGCGAGACAAGGCTGGGCTGCAGGTGGGTGCTAAGCTTAGAGCAGGCTAGTCTCAGCAGGGCCTGGAAGACCCAGTGTCCCGAGAGACCCCCCCCCCCCGGGCCATTTCCTGCCCAGTGTTCGGCTTCTTCTTCAGCCTAGCTCTGCAGGTGGTCAGCCCAGTCATGACTGGGAGTAGGAGGCAGAAGAGGCCAAGGTCGGGGTGGGGGGAAGTAAAACAGGAGCCAGCAAGCCAGAAGGCATTGCAAGAGGCCATACCACTCCTGAAGCACCCTAACTCAGGGGTTAGAGATAGGTTAGGGCAGACCCTGGAGAAATGCTGATGAATGAATGAATGAATGGAGAAATAGGCAAGAGGAGTGAGCAACTTCAAGAAATAATGTGGGCAGGAGGGAAGCAGGCAGTCACAGGCAAGTAGAAGAATGAGCCCAGAGGTGCAGGTGAAAGACAGGGGTTTGTCCACCTTTACTCAGCTCAGCTCTTCCCAGCCCGAAGCTCCTCTGCAACATCTCTTCTACTCTGAGCTCCAACAGCTTCGCCTCCCTCGTCCCATATCACCATCCAGGTGTCCCACTTCCTCTCCAGCATCTGCACAGCCCCTCCTCGGGCCATCCACATCCCCTGAGCCACCAGCCTTGGGGCCAAATGCTGACATGACTGTCCCCACCTCTCCCTCCTCAGCAAGGCACCTGCCCTGGCTGGCATGGGTTACGTCCCTCCCCTGACCACTGCCCCACCTTCCTCACTGACCTGGCCTTGGTCTGACCCCTTTGGGACACCACTACTTTTCCAAGGGCAAACCCACTGTCTCATTCTTTGCTTCAAATCTCTTAACAGCTGCTTCAGACAAAGTCCAAACTCTTTGGCAAGGCCTGGGTGGCCATTCACCATCTGGGTCCTCCAGACTCACCTCACCCCTCCCCCATCCTGGTATTCTGGAGGTCACTTCCCCACAAGAGACAGGCTAGCTCTTGTTCCCTGAACATGTCACTCCTCAAGCCTGATGCAGCCTTCCTTCTCTTTCACACCTCCTAGGAGGTCACCTGCTCCAGGAAGCCCTCCTTTTCTGACATTCCTTCCCAAATGGTGGGGTGATCCAGGTTCTGGGCTTCCTTAGTTAATGCTGTCCAGGTCCTCAGCCCTTGGACACGGGTATCAAGAGTAACAAGAAACCTCCAGAGGACCAGACCTCTCTCTTGATAACTCCAGCACCTTCCACACCACACACCACCAGTGGCCACACAAGTTTAATGAAAGAACTCATGAACTTGAAATCTATTTTCCACCTTGGTTACTGCTCCCTCAGCTAGCCAGGGGTCACTCCCTGAGCCCGTCTGACTAGAAGGGGTAGGTGGGACCCATTACTTGCCAGGAAGAACCTCCAGCAGATTCTCCCTCCCATCACCACCGGGCACCCAACCCCCCACTTCTCACAGGGCACTAGCCCCGCTGCCGGGGACTACAGCTTTTGTCACTTTGCCCAAAGCATTTTCACTGCTACAGATTCAAACCACTATCTCAATGTGCCTATCAGGTGAGTGCCAGACGGTAACTATGCCCTTTCACTCAAGAGGAACCTGAGGCTCAGAGCATGAAACCTGCTCCCAAGGTCAAAGAGTGAGTTAGCTGCAGAGGTAGGGTCGAGGCTGTACAATAAGTGGTCCCTAGTTACATCTTCACCACCCCACAATGGGGCATCGGATTGCCATGACATCAGTCCTCCAGGTTCCAGAGTCGCACTCCCCGCCCTCCCCTCCGGGAGGCCAGCCAAGGTGACTCTGTCCCGCCTCCGGGTCCCCGGGATGGAGGGCCCCTCGGCGCTTA